TCACCTGACGTCGGCTACAACCGACGCCGTCGACTATAACGAGAGAGCCACTCACTGCAACTCTCCCTTGCCGACCATCCGCCGCGGAAATACTTGTCAGCTTCGGGCCCGAACCTGGCAGAGTAAGTCCGTACCACCTCCTCGGGGGACCACAATCCACCCGAATCTCAGGTATATGTATTGCCTCATCCTCGGGAGACTCATCTCCCGGAATCCGCTCCGTCGCTAGCGGATACGTTGGCGCGGTTCTAAAAACCGTGTGTTCCTCGTCACGCAATAGTACCGACTACAATCGGCTATCCACGCAAGTCATCGAAGTGCCCATAACCGTCCTATCATTCGGACGTTGGCGCTATTATATCATCGCCACATTCACAATCATATCCCATACGGGTGGCATCCGATCCGGATCGGATGGCCCATAGATGGGACGCAATCTTGCAATCATCTTGCATTCATTCACACACGCCCGTTTCTACAATCACACGCTAAACGTTAATCCGAACCCTTCCGAATTAACGCTAGTGTCATGCCAGCTACCCCGATCACATGCATTTATATAGTTTATTTACTATACATGCAATTCCGCTTGCGTAGTCTTTTATATTTCTTTATATATTTTCTTTCAGTCTATTCATTCATACTACTGTATTGTACCTCCGGTATGACTTAGCTGGTCCTGGTCCGCCCGGATAACCAGTTCGGTTCATTCCGTGGTTTTTAACCTTACCTGCTATTCATTTTGGGTCCAGACTACGTGGGGTCTGGTCTGGCACGTAATTCCGGTATAATTTATTTTTTTCACTTTTTCATAATTTTAGCCGGGGTAATATTAGACCCGTCTTATCATGTTTTTCAATTTTCCACATGGTGAAATTTTCAGGTTTCGTTTTTTTTCCAGACCGATCGGTCTAGTCAGTAGACCGATCGGTTCGGAACGGACGTTCCGTCTCGTCAGACCGGACGGTCTGGCAAGTGCGGAACGGACGTTCCATCTCGTCCAGACCGGACGGTCTGGCAAGGGCGGAACGGACGTTCCGGACTTGCAGAACGGACGGTCTGGAGTCGTCTTCAACCTTCAGACTTCTGTATTTCTCCTGTAGACCTAAAACGGACGGTCTGACCTCAGACCGGACGTTCTGGTCCTCGGATTTTCACCAAAACACTCAAACATGCACGATTCACTATGGGTATTGCACTAAAACTCATAAAATTGCATGCAGAACACGAATCAAGCATAAATTTTACACGAAATCACTCAAAACCCAAAACCCCATGTCTAACAGACTTCCGAATTAAACTCGAATTCACTCACCTCGGGTTAGATTCGCGCTATGGGTGTTGAATGGGAAGCTTGGTGATGTTCCTCTGCGTCTGTAGAAGCAAGTAACGTCGTGAGTTACTCGGATTTGAGGGAGAATTCGGCTCTGAGGTTGGGAAGAATGAAGAGGAAGAAGGTGGCTAAATAAAGTCCGAATTGGTCGAATTATTGGTTGAAATCTGGAACCAGGCGTGGAACAAATCGTGCTTAGGGTCAAAAGGTCGGGTTTTCTGGTCGGATTAGTGCGCAGGGGTCATTTTCAGGTCGGCCCGGACGAAAGCCGCGACTTTGGTCGCTGCCGACAGTCCAGTCCGTCCGTTCCAGGACTGTCTAGAACGGACGGTCTGTTCCTACGCGGTCCGTTCGTTCTGAGTTGTCCAGAACGGACGTTCTGAGTTTTTTTTTAAACTGGGTTGTTACACTATTTGTGAATCAAACTCAAACCAAATACCGAAACATGCACCCTAGTGGCTAGCATGTTAACGGTTATGCTAGCTATTAGTAATAGTCCACTCTAACTATTTAGCAAGCAAAAATAACGTTTGCATAATTTTTAATATCCAAATCAAATATGGATTTTTAGTTTGTACTAAATGTTTTTTGGTAACTAAAAAATATTTAGTAAAAACTAAAAACCCGTATTTGATTTGGATATTAAAAAATTAAAACTATATCCAAATAAAAGACGATACATTGAATACACATAATTTTACCGAACAATCGAAATTTAAAATCAGCATATCCATATATTTGCCTCTAGTCTCTAGTAATTAATGACCGCGGTTAATTATGTTAAGTTAGAATTTGTTTCTAATCCACCATTTTTTTTTTAAATTTCAGAACTCAATGGATTGAAGAAAATTAGAACGTTAAGTTTCGTGGTAAAAAAATCCAAAATTCTAGTGGCAACTATTGGAAAATATAGAACATTAGAGTTATATATTATGAAAGAGTTATAATTATCTATTATAGAATTATATTTCCAATAGTAACTCTCACGAATTTTTCTAAAATTAAATTGCTATATACACACATTTTGAAATAAATAAAGTTATTTTTCTTATTGTTAAATAAATAAAGTTAGTAATTCCTTGATTCAATTATCCAGGCAAAGGACGAAACGAAGCAATGAAATTTCGTCTCCTAAACTTAGAAATTAATTTCGTAACGAGAATTTTTAAATAGTTCCATAAAAATTGTATCCCGGTGAGTTTTTTCTTAATATTTTTTACTAGTGTAAAAGTTTAGATATATATCGAATCATGAGATGTCTGATTTTTAAATAAAAAATAGGTTTTTTAGTTCACGACTTTTAAATTCTGCATGATAATTTAACTTTAAAGTTTTATGATAATTTAATTTAGTGTAATAGTTTTAAGGGTTTAAAATCAAACCGAATAGAGTTTTGGTATTTTATTTTGATTTGGATACTTCTCAAAATAACTTATACGTTAATCGAATGAAATTGATTAAACGGTATATTATTATTTTTTATCGATTATTTCGGTTTGTTTCTATATTTAGATTTTTTTATTAGTTATATATTCATTTTTTAAATAAACATTGGTTATTTTGATAATAAGAGAGAGAAACAAGAAGTCTCCACTCTCCAGTGATGTCGCAATTGGAATTAAAAAAATTAGGGCGTGAAAAACATAGGATTAAGGATTAAATAATCGTTATTAAGCATTGTTAAGCAAAAACGAAGCCGCTAACATTCATTAATACCTTCGAAAAGGAAAAGAAAATTAAGGGGAAGACTAAAAATCAGCTCACACACCTCCACGGAGCTGTAGGAAACCCCAAATCCGGAAACCCCACCTACAATTCTCTCAATCTCTCTCTCTCTCTCTCTTTCTCTCAAATGCAAAATCCTGCTCAAATCTATATTGGGTTCTTTGATTTGCATGGAAATCTGTGAAATTTGCTTCGGAGGAGTGGAGGAGGAGGCAAATCTCTTAAATGCAATGTGAGGAACACGAGGAGGAGGAAGAAGAAGAAGTGAAAGAAGAAGAGATTTTCTCTCGGAGGTCCGATAATGGTGGCTGCGTTTCCTCAAGCAGCAATCTCTAGTACTGACCCGCGAAACCCACCTCGAGATCGGCAAGAAAAACCTCGACCCATCGCCAGCAATGGCGGACAACAACAACGACAACAGCAGCGAAGACCCAGAGGGAAACAGGTCCCGTCACGCTACTTATCCCCTTCTCCTTCTCCTTCTTCTCTTTCTACTTCCTCTAACACTACCATTACCACTATCACTACCACTACCACTACCACATCTTCGTCGTCTTCTTCTTCTGCAATACTGAAGACAAGTAAGCGATACCCCTCTCCCCTCCTCTCTCGCCCGACGAATTCTGCTTCAAATTTGGTCAAAACACCTTCATTGTTGCCCAAACGATCCCAATCGGTGGACCGGAGACGGCAATCTCCGGCTCCTGTCGCGGGAGCGAGTGGCACCGAAATGTCGGCGGCGACAAAGATGCTCATCACTTCCACTCGGAGTTTGTCGGTTTCGTTTCAAGGAGAAGCGTTTTCGCTTCCGATTAGCAAGAAGAAGGAGACTACCACGCCGGTTTCTCACCGGAAATCTACGCCGGAGAGGCGAAAATCAACCCCGGTGAGAGATCAAAGGGATAACTCTAGGCCTGTGGATAATCTTCGATGGCCGGGAACATCTCGGAAGGGAAATTCTGAATCTGGGTCTAACCCGCTTTCGAGAAGCTTGGATTGTGGGATGAAACTAGGATCTGGGTTTGTGGGCAAATCACTGTTGCATCATTCTTTGATTGATGAGAGTCCTAGGGTTTCTGTTGATGGGAGGCTGAGTTTAGATTTGGGAAGCTCAGATGAGTTTTTGGAAGTGAAGGGCGAAAGCAAGCGAAATCCGGAAATACATTCAGCTAATGAATTGGCCTCTAATGTTTCGTGTGATTTCACTGCATCTGATACTGATAGTGTTTCGTCCGGTAGCACTAACGGTGTTCAAGAATGTGGTTCAGGTGGTAGTGTTGGTATCAATGGTGAAATTTCTAAAACAAAGAGCTTGCCTCGTAATATCATGGCTTCTGCTAGATTCTGGCAAGAGACTAATAGCCGGTTAAGGCGATTACAGGATCCTGGTTCGCCTTTATCCTCTAGCCCGAGTTCAAGAACCGGTAGTACCTCATCAAAGTTTGGTCATTCGAAACGATATTCTAGTGACGGTCCTTTAGCGTCTCCTCGTATTATGGCTTCTCCTACACGAGGAGCTACCCGCCCTTCTTCTCCAAGCAAGCTTTGGGCGACAACCACGTTATCTCCGGCTAGGGCAATTTCAAGTCCTGCTCGAGTGAGAAATGGAGTTGCTGATCAAATGAACGCTTACAATGGCAACACTCCTTCAATTCTTAGTTTCTCAGCTGATATTAGGAGGGGAAAAATTGGAGAGGATCGTGTTATGGATGCACATTTGTTGAGGCTTCTGTATAACCGTTACCTGCAATGGCGGTTTGTGAATGCGAGGGCAGACTCTACCTTCATGGTGCAGAGATTGAACGCGGAGGTATGCCCTGATTGGGGTTTCTTTCCTTTCACACTGTTATATGTTAGTGTGTCCAAGACTCCAAGTATGGTTAACTGCTCTATAGATTCTTAAAGACTGCTACATGTTTATAATTAACATATGCATATCTTTAATGCTAATGCCATAAACATGTTTGGGAATTTTCAAGCTGTAAAATCTAGCTTTAGCTTTTCATATTGAGCAAATTCTTGTGAGATCAGAAGTTTTGAGTGTGTGGAAGCAAGATCTCCACTCTCCAGTTGCTTATCCATGAATAAATGTTGTCATGGGACTAAGATTTTTTTCTAGAAATGGTCAATGTAGGTAAACAATGATGCCGTGATAAGTCTCATGGGTTTGGAACAACGTTTTATTTAAGTTTTGGACCGCTTTAGCTGGAGGGCTGTCAAAAGATCCTTTTTTTTTAAAATACACCCATTGAGTGAACTGCAACAAGGATGGAAAGATTGTGGCATTTTCAGGGATGAGAAGATATCCATAGAGATGGTTAGAGATAATAATTTGATGATCATGTAAACTAGGCTCATGGTGGGGCAGATACATGGACTTAAATCCATTCTGATAATAGCCTGATGGACTGTGGGCATCATTAGCAGCATAGTTCTAAACTATAGTATCCTATCTGGTCCATCATAAAATTGACTTTCCATTTAATGTTTTTCTTATTTTAGCTGTTTTCTGAGCTAGCAAGCTATTCTAGGCTCAGATGAGCAATGCATGTTGTCTCCATTCATATCCTTTTTCATGTCTTTTATGTTTTAGCATGCTTTATTAAATGATGTCAACCCATATTCAGCTTTCCTTCTAATCCGGGCGATTCTTCTCTTGTTTACCAGAAAAATCTGTGGAATGCTTGGGTATCAATCTCGGAATTGCGCCATACTGTTACTCTGAAACGAATCAAGCTGCTATTGTTACGGCAGAAACTGAAACTGGCTTCGATCCTGAGAAAGCAGGTGAGAATATATAATAAGCTCCCTTTACACTTTTTTCACTGCTTTCCTCTAAATAAAAAATACCGTAAACTAACAATGGCATCATCAGTCATGATTTTTCCTGTATATTTGAGAAAACCCAGACTTTTTATAGGCTTAGGCTTCGTGATTTTGAAGTTGAAAAATGTTTCCGTAATGTGGCAGAGTGATGACTGCTTCTTGGTTTTACAACTTTGTCTGGGCTGTGAATAAGTGCTTCCCTGTTGTAACATTTTCCAAATTTATCTCTAGAAGCTAGTATTGACTAATTGTTTAGGATCATCTCATAGCATTCTTAATCTTTGATGAATAAAACAGGCTAAAAACCACAACGATAGGTTTATTTCAAACTTTCCAAGAATAGAAACCATGGCACCAAAAAATCGGAACATCCTTAGTGTAACCATAGCTGAGAAACATTTAAAGGAATTTTGAGTATTTCTTTTACTATCAGTCTCCTAACCTTGTGATTAAAATCATTGTATTTTTTCAAATGTAGATGGGTTACTTTGAAGAATGGTCCCTTTTGGAGAAAGATCATTCAAATTCTTTGTCTGGAGCAACCGAAGCTTTGAAGGCCAGCACTCTCCGCCTTCCGATTGTCGGTAAAGCTGTGGTAAGTGCCTTTGTGTAATCGTGTTGGTTTAAGTGTTTACTTGGAGTAATGCCGGATTTTTCTGAATGTTTTTTTTTTTTTTTGCATCATTTCTGCTTTGTTAGGCTGATACTGAAGATCTCAAGCATTCTGTCAGTTCAGCTGTCGATGTGATGCAAGCTATGGCATCTTCCATATGCGCATTATCCACAAAGGTAAGTATCTTATCTCAGTGATGAACTTCGAACAAACTACCGTTGAGAAATCAACAAAAAATTATCTTCTCTTTGACATTATGGTTCTAATATTTGATGATCCAATGAAAAATGGGGAAAATGGTGTTTGAGAATAGAAAAGTAACTTTTGGATGAATAGTTATGGGTATTACTTACCTTATCTGCGTTAAAAAGTTAATATCTTTATTCAAAATGCCAATGTCGTCTCATTCATATTGTCCTCAATGTCGTCTCATTCATATCTTTATTCAAAATGCCGATGCATGTTCATTGTTTAGAGGATCTCTCACCTCTTGATGAGAAACTTTTTGTTTGAGAATTAACCCATCCAAGGCCTTATATATATATATATATATATATGCATTGTTTGTGAATTGTGAGGTAAGGCTTTTAGCCCGTTTATACGAACGAGTGTGTTTTCGTGGTTAGGTGGACGAAACGAATTCTATAATGGCCGAGCTCGTGAATATCGCTGCAAAGGAAAAGTTTTTGCTCCAGAAGTGTCAAGGTTTCTTGGCAAGGGTAGCAGCCTTGCAGGTAAGATTTCTTCTTCTGCCTTCCTTCGTTTTCCTTCATTTCAGAACCGTTTTCTTTGTTATTCGCATTCTTGCTGACCCGGGAAAAACGAAAAAAAAATGGGACAGGTAACAGATTGTAGCATGAAAACGCACGTAATACAGCTAAGTCGGATACCGGTCACAAGCAGCCTGACTTCACATGTGTAGAAACTGATGATCTCTTTCGCCGTTCCTTTTGACTACTCACCAAACAGATCTGCTAACGTTTACTCCGAGGCCTTCCCGAGAATCCCGACCTTGTCGTTTTCAACCCGATCAAGGCGAAATTCTCGGGGGGGATATTGTTCCGTTTCGCCCGATTTCTCTCTCTGGGTCTTGCCCTATGTGTATTGGGATTTGTTTTGTTTGTGTAAGTCTTTTTGTATCTGAAGATAACAGGAGAAAAATGTTCAAGAAAAGGAAACGAAAAAAAAAAACAGTGGGTGTTGTCTCTGAAGTGCTAGCTTAGTTTGATTTGTATACAGAAGAAGATGGAATGTACATATAAAAAAAATTGTAATGTCTGATATCACTACTGACCTTATTTCTCCTTTGATTCCACTTTTGATGAATTTTCATTACCTTTTACTAGTAGTTAGGTTTATGTTTCATGCCCTCTCTAATTATAACCTCTTTCTCTCTCATGATTTTGATTAGTTTATTTGGTTTGGACATATAAAATCAAGAAGAATTAAGGGGATGATTGGATACACCGTTACCACGCACAAACGAAGCGGTATACGATATCTGATAGGTGGTGGCGGTTGAGAAACCGATTTGTTAAACCACAGACAAACACAACCGGAATCAAAACGCTATTTTCCATTTGCGTTAGTTTGCTACGTCTAAGGTAAAAGACCAAATTACCCTAACTGAAAATCAAAAACCAACCTCATTCTTCGGATGACTAGATGGATTTTGCAATCCAGGTAGGTAATAGATCTGCTGGGTAATTCTAATTCCGGGATGACTGCTTTTGATCAGTGGGTATAATGAATTAATTAGGAATGGTTAGGGTTATCTTTGTTACGAAGCTTGTATCATATTGTCATTCACAAGTTTATTATCTTCTCTTTTTTAGTGCATAGTGCAAAGAAAAGTAAAACGAGAAAATATCGAAGATTTGTAGCACTTATGCTTAGAACTTTTGTAAGGAAACAAAGAGAGAAGAGAGATAAATGCTTAGAAATACTTAGGAAAGCTTGATATGAAAAACTCCATACAACACCCCCTATTTATACTAAAACTCCAAACTTAGTACTCTCATCACAACCATACATCTTCATAATACATCATCAATCAATCACACCTATTATATCCTTATTTTATTCAATCACACCTAACACACACCAATTCAAATTTCTACAACTCCTTACATAAATATTACATCATCATGATGTAATCTCTTACATAATCATTACATAAACATGACGTAAGCGAATGAATCACCTTCTCAATACTCCTCCTTGATTAATTTGTTTGTCATCCCAAATTTCTTCTTCAAATCTTCAAATCTTGAAGCTCCTAGTGCCTTTGTGAAGATGTCTGCCAGTTGCTCTTCTCCTTTGACGTATGTGAGTTTGATGACTCCATTGTACTCCGCTTCTCTAACCACATGATACTTGATGTTGATATACTTCGTCCTCCGATGTTGAACCGGATTTCTTCCAATGGAAATAGATGAGCTATTGTCACAGAAGATCGGTGTGCTCCCTTCTTGCTTGCATCCCAAACTATCAAGTAGATTCCGTAGCCATATGGTTTGGTTCACCGCAGCTACTGCTGAGATGTACTCTGCTTCCGCCGTTGATTGTGCGATCACTTCTTGCTTTTCTGTCTACTATGAAAATATTGCTCCTCCTATCTTGAACACATAACCACTTGTGCTTTTCATATCATCTTGACTTCCGACCCAATCACTATCACAATATACATCCCTACAACAATACAGTGTTCTCGGGTTTGAAGTGTAAACCAAGATCAATGGTTCTCTTGACATACCTCAATACCCTCTTCGCTTGCTTGAAATGTATCATCTCCGGTTTGTTCATGAATCTTGAAAGATAACTTGCAGCGTACATCAGATCTCGTCTTGTGGCCGTTAAGTACAACATACTTCCCACCATACTTCGGTATTCTTTTGCATCTGCTTCTTTCTCCTCCTCCGTATCAATGTTCTTACCATTCGGCTCAAGTGGTGTGTTGACTGGTTTACAGTCAGACATCTTGAACTTCTCCAAAAATTTCTTCGCATAGCTTCCTTGGGATAAGAAAACTTCATCTGAACTTTACTTTATTTCTATGCCCAAGAAACACTCCATCTTGCCAAGGTCTGACATCTTAAAGTGATGCATCATTTCTTCTTTGAATCTTCCAATGTTCTCCCCATTACTCCCGGTAATGATCATGTCATCCACATATAGTGAGATGATCAGTATATCATCTCCAAGCCTTTTGATGTATACTGCCGCCTCGTATGGACATCTCTCAAAGCCTTGTTTGAGAAAATATCCATCGATTTTGCTATACCACGCTCTTGGAGCTTGTTTCAAACCGTACAAAGCTTTTATTAGCTTTAGTATGTGATCTTCTTTGCCTTCTAATTCAAATTCTTGAGGTTGCTCCCAAATACTTCTTCCTCAAGTTCACCATTCAGAAATGCGGATTTCACATCCATGTGATGTAGTGTCCACCTATTTTGTGTTGCAATCGCAAGTATGACCCTGATGGTATCGTACCTTGACACAGGTGCAAACGTCTCTGTGTAATCTTCACCATACTTCTGACTGAACTCTCTTACAACCAATCTCGCCTTGTGCCTTTGTATGGATCCATCTGCAGCAACCTTGAGTTTGTAGATCCACTTCATTATGATGGCTTTCTTCTTTTCGGGTCTTTCCACCAACTGATAACTCTTATATCTCTCTATATTTCCTGGATGTTTTTATAGGATTTACATGAGGATCATATTCATTTATAGACATTATAGGCGCGTTAGGCTACGAAACTTGGTTTGGTTGTGTTTTTATTGGATTACAGGTCTTGGATGAGATTTGGACCAAGATGGAAGCAATCTGGAGCTAAAAGGATGAAATACATCAAGAACTTCCTACCTTGACTCGGCCAAAGTCAACAACAGAAATTGGGCCGAGTCAACATGCTAAAAATGGTCCAATTCAAGCCTGTTACGAGGAGACCGAGTCAGAACGTCCGAGTCAGTTTACCCCGAGTCAGAAGATTGGGCTGGGCCGAATTCATCATGTCTCGTTTTGATGCGGTCGAGTCAGAGTACTGACTCGGTCCGAGTCAAAACCCAGAAAAAGCCCAGATCGAATTTTCAGAGTTGGAACGGGAGTAGGACTTCGGGAGCGCCGCCTAGGGTTGATAAAAGGATTCTACAGACGTCCAAAAGGGACACACAGACTTTATACAGACTTTGGAGAGCTTTGGTGAGAGAAATAGGAGTTTTACGGGATTTCGGGAAGAAGAAGGAGAGTTGGAACGTGAAGATCGCTTGCTGTCGACATGAGTCTTTCTTCTCCCTCTTTTCTTTCTGTTTCTGGTTTTGCTCAGTGTTTTTCCATGAACCGTGAGTAGATCCACGGCTGTGGGTTAGGGATTCGTTTGTGTTTTGGGTATGTTTGAACCCTAACTTGGTTACGATTTGGATTTGTTTCGGTTTTATCGATTTGTGCTTTATTCGATTAGTGTTTGCTGACCCCTTGGCCAATTATTTCAGATTCTGAGCTACATAGGAATATGGGTTTAGTTTCGGATCGAAATCGATAGAATAGATCGTATTATTCACATAGGAATATGGTTTGATCGATCTAGGATTGATGATAGTGTTCTTCATGCATCTAGTTTGATAAATCACATAGGGATATGGATTTAGAAAACTTTAGATAGTGAGTTATACGTCGGGATGTGATTTCTCTATCTTTGTTGCTTGACGATTCATGAATACAGATTCAATATCGTGATTCTCGCATGCTTAGCATATACCCATACACGCGAATACGGTCCCGACACCCACGGTCATCTTAGATTGCTAGTTTACACATTCTTATTGCTTTGCTTCCTTATTTTCTATTCTTTCCATACACTTCCACCATCACTTCTACTTGCTTGCTTTGATTTAGTCTCGATTAGATTGAGATTTAGCTACCGGTCCTTGCGTTCGACCCCGTGTTACGACGATCCGTATCCTTGCGGTGAGTTGTGAATCGGGTATAAATTCTAGACTCGGTACACACGTATCAAGTTTTTGGCGCCGTTGCCGGGGACTGGTTAGCCTATTTCTAGGTCTTTATTGATTCTAGGTCTTAGCTTGTCTTCTTTTTTTTTTCTTTTTTTTTTCTTTCTTTGGTTTTTGCGGATTCACTTGGTTTCGAGTTCTTCTTTTTCTTTGCGGTTTGCAGGGTTCTAGTGCATGACACAGAGCTCTACTCGGAAAAAGACCGAGTCTACGATCCAGAGATTGAGCGTACCTTGAGAGACATCCGAAATCAGTAGAGAAGAGAAGCTATGTCGAGGTCAAGTAGTTCGCACGACCATGCGGTTCATGATGAGGAGCATCACGAGAATCAAGAGCACATGAATCCGCTCTACGATCAGCAAACCGAAGGCGAAGCTACTTACATTGCAGAGGAGACTTTGGGTTATTACATTGCACCGAAGCACACCCAACTCCTATCATGCATCAACAGACCGCCCATAGACAACTTTGAGCTACTGCCACAGTGCATCACGATGTTCAGTCAGGCGAGCTTCAGAGGGTGGCCCACAGAAGATCCCATTGCTCACTGACTCAGTTCAAGATGCTGTGCAGATCAGTCAGAAAGGCACGAGGCATGACGATCAAAGATGTATACTTGGAGGCTTTTCCTTTTTCACTGATGGATCGGGCGAGAGATTGGCTCTACACTCTTGAGCCAAACTCGATTACGACATGGGAGGAGCTAGAGGAGCAATTCATGGCGAAATACTACTCCCCAGAGAAGACCCGAGCTGCACAGAGAGCCATACACAACTTCACTCAGGAGAGTGATGAGAGTCTGTATGACGCATGGGAGAGGTTCAAAGGCTACCAACGCCTTTGTCCACACCACGGCATGGATAAGTGACTGCTGCTTTCCACATTCATCCACGGACTGAGAGACGACACTAGAGCATGGATGAATGCAGCTTGTGGAGGGAGTGTATACGACATTCCCTTTGACACCCTAGAGATGCAGATTGCGAAGATGGCCAAAGCAAGAGGGATGTTAGGAGATAGTATCAGACGCTCTACAGGGTGGGTAGATTTGGGCGAGTCTACGGCTTTGAAAGCGGTCATGTCTGATTTATCGGCAATCAAGCAGCACATGGGACTCAAGAATACATCTAACCCGCCGAAGGTCCAGCCTGGCATATTTCTGGTTGATCAGGCAGCATCAGAAGAAGAACCGGTTGAGGATGTCAACTACGTAGGAAGGAATCAGTACCAGAATCCTTCCAATCTCTACAACCCGAACGCGCCTAGGAACCATCCTGGTTTCTCTTACGGAAACCCGAGCGGAGCATTGAATGCACAA